TGCCAACAAGTTTCGAAATCCATGAAATTGCAGTCGTTTATGATAAGCTCTTCACTACCATATTTTAAATTGAATGTCTTTCTGTTTAATCAGTCAATGGACTATTTTCTAATTGAGAGTAGAGACCCATTTGTATATATGGTATATTAAATGCATATTGTCATATTATATAAATAAAATCCTTTTAATGAAACTGATGACGACTTCTCTCATATGAAGAGTTTGATTATAGTGATATAGTGAAATAAATTATATAAAGAAAAAAAATCCAAAATAAATAGTATTCAAATTAACACTTTTTAGTTAGAATAAAAATTTAATTTTATTTTAATTATTGGTTTTTCAATAACTCTGAAAAAAATCATTTGAAAACATCATTTCAGATATTTTTTCTATGGAAAGAACTTATTACAAAAGGCATGTAAAAGCAAGACTAAAGATGGAAATTGGTAAGTATTCCTATTAAACATAGTATTTTTTTATCATCTTCATTTATTAAGAATTTAACATAATACTATAATTTGTATATAACTAATTTTTGTTAAATATTTGGTTTTAACTTTATATAAATATTCTACTACTATACCAATAATTGATAAAACATTAAAAATAATAAATTATTGTATTAATTTATAGAATACATTAATGTTAAAAACTATTCATAATGTCATGTAAAGATTGTAAAAAAACATTTAAACAAGAAAAAAATTCTTCATAAATATTTATAATAAAAAAAAAACAAAATCAAACAGATTATAATCAATCATTTTAAATGTTAAAAAAAAATATATAAATATAGATACAAAAAATAAAAAGAATATGTAAACATATATGAAAAAAAAAAATATATATATATATTTTTATAAATAAATAAATAAATTTTTTAAATAATTAAAGAAATAAATTTTACTTTTTAAATTATAAATATTTTATAAATATATATTTTAATAAATAAATATATATATCAATAAATATATATATCAATAAATATATATATCAACAAATATATATTTATTGATATGCTACATGTAAGTAAATAAATATTGATGTGCGGAAATAAAAGATATTTATTGAGTTTTAAAAAATATATTTTAAAACTCTTATAAAAACAATGATAATAATATAATAATAATAATATAATAATAATAATATTATAATAATTGATAGTAAACGTGAAATAAAACTAAATGAAAAAAATTACATACCCAAATTAAATAACAAAACTTAATTATAAAAAATTAAATGAATTTAAACACAAGAAAATTAAAAAATATATGAATACATTTTTAAGTTTATAAAATATATATTAAAATATTTTATAGTAAAACATTAGTGAGAATTAAATATATCTATATAAAATGAATGAGCAGCAATAAATTAAAGCAGTACAAATATATGACTTCATCAGTAAAATATATACATATGTTTACTGATAAAAATTATACTGAGAGGCTTACATTGGCAACGTTAACTATATTAATATATCATAAAAATAAATAAATAAAAATAAATAAATAAAAATAAATAAATAAAAATAAATAAATAAAAATAAATAAATAAAAATAAATAAATAAATAAAAATATAATAAAATGTGGCATTAAAATTTTTTTTTTTTGTCGAAATATAAAAGAAATTAAATCATACGATACAAATAAATAAAACGGCAAATTTATATGTATAAATAAGTTGAAAAATATAATTTGTTTGTTTTATTCTGTATACAGAACGATATAGTTGTAATATATAAGAATAGTTAAATATAATAAATTTATATATTAATATTAAAGAAATTATTTATACTGAATTTTAAAAGTATTTAGATAAGTTATTGAAAAAGCTAAAATCATATCCATTGTGGAATTTAATAAATATTTAAAAAGAAATAAATTATTAATTCAAATATAAATATTTTATTTTGAAACTTATTTTTGTTAAAAATTTATTAGCAGAAATTAATGAATTTTTTAGAAGAAATTTATTAATTCTTATTTCATAAATTAATATTAATTAAATAACACAAAGATATTTTTATTAAAATTTTCCTAAAGAAACTATTAATTAGACTGGCTTAGTGAACAACAATAATAATAAATAATTAAATTCAACAAAAATTTCTGTACATAATATTTTCATTTATTTCATTAAATTTATCAGTTATTAATTATATACAAAGCAAGAAGTTTGAAGAAAATTATATTTAACATTAAAATTACACAAACTATAACTTTTTAATATTTTATTTATATTCATAAATAATTGTACAAACGTACAAATACAAATTTAACTAATTTAAAAATTAAAATAAAAACAATTGATTGGAATGCATAACGAAATTTTGATAAAGAAATGTGTAAACAAAATTATTATCAAAATTATTTTAAAAATAATTTCAATAAATCATCAAAAAATTTATTCGAAAATGTTTACTAGTTACTTAAACAATTATAAACAATTTTTTGCAATAATAATTAATATACTGTGGCATACTACTATATAATTTTATTCAGATTTATATTTCTATAGTTTCATTTTATTTAATTAAAACAAAATTTGAAAATAATCTATAAACTAAGTAATAAGAAGTAATAAGAGCAGACAATTTTAATAGTTAGAAAACAGTACAAGCAATTACATATAATTGCCTAGGTATTTTGAAAATTTTCCAGTTCAAATACTAAACATTTTCAATAATCACATTTGAAAACACAGAAAGATATTTTTTTTAAACATAAATTAAATATTGCCTTTTTAAAAGGATTTTCTTCCTTTTTTAAAAAGAAGAAAGAAATTAGAATTTAGTTTTTTATAATATAATGTTTTAATCATTTGATACAATAAATATTACAATAATTAGAAGTCGAAAATATTTTTCAGAACTAAAGGAAAAAATTAATGTTTAAAATATAATTTGCGCACATTTTAAAGCTAGTATAATTCAGTTTTATTGAGCGAAATAGAGACAATAGGCAAAATAGAGACAATAGAAACTGTAGAAATATGTTAAAAATATTTTATTGAATTTTTTAGAGAAAAATGTTTAATCATAAGAGGTTAGACAAAAAAAAATATATAGAGGAACATAATTTACAAATAAATCAAAAACTAAATAACATTGGATTTAGAATAGGGCCGAGCTGAAATAATGTTAGAATGATAAATGATGCATGACTGACGATATTTAAAGAATACTTAAATTCATGAATGAAAAATCTAACAGATAAATGAACCTGTTTCATACATTACTAAAGAGCAATCAATAAAATAACTTTCAGATGCATGAAAAAATTCGCAATATAAATGGATGTTGATACAAATAAAATGAAAATGAAACCAATATATGTAACTATGAAGACACTACATTAAAAAAAAACAAAAGAATTAGAGGTATTATACGTAATAATATAAATTTTGTTATATTAACTTCATATAATTATTATAAATTTTTCTAAAAAAAGTTAGAAGAGCAAAAATATTAATTTGAAAATACCATGTTTTAATTTAAATTCATTTTAAAATTTTCTGCTACAGTCAGTTCATAATATGAAAGGAATATATATTAATAATACTCATGGTTAAGATATTAATATCTTGACAAAAAAATATCATTTAATCTAGTATTAAATTAGTTAATACATATCAATACCTATGTTTGTATTATTCTCCCATCTCTTGATTGAAAAGTTTTCTATTTTTGCGACATGCACTTTTGTCTTAATATCTTAACATCGTATAGAAAAGAATTCTTAACATTTCTTCTATTTATTATATTTATCTATTTAGCAAATAATTATCAATAACATTCCATATAAAATAATATTCTATTTATTATTACTTTAAAAACATAAATATTTCTTTCGTCTCCTCAATATACATACTTACAATTTTGCTAGTAAATATTTTTAACATATTTCTGTTATGTTATGTGCATTATGTCAACATAACATTGTTATGGGTTTACTGTATGTAACTTGGTTTAATGCCTTTCAAACAGTTTTAACGAAGCAGTTTGATGTACAGATATTGAAATAATTTTTCTCTTTAGAACTGAACTAAAAAGCAATTAAAATGTTTAAATTTTAAAATAAATAAACACGCAAATTGAAAGTTAATAAACAGACAGACATTAGAAGTACATATGGCAGAAGATATTCTTTTAAAGAAACTACTCTAAAAATAAAGTAGACTAATAAAGAAATACTCCAAAATGTTTTAAATAACTTACAATTAACAAAAAAAAACTTCATTTTACAAATTCATGCTTACAAATCACTTAAAATATATATATATATACGCATCATAATATAAGAATAAAAATTATACATACAATTTACAATTAAAAAAAATATACAGCACTTTTTGCATTTAAAAAATTATAGTAGCACAAAAAACACTTAATGGAACATAATTATTTTTATTATTTTTACAATTTTAAATGTATGCAGTTTAGTTGAATGTATATAATTGAAAACATTAGAATTAATTTATATGCAAACGGTTTTTACAATAACTTTACAGGGGCTGCATTGATAGTTTATTCATTTTCTTTTTAAAGCCATAACTTTCAAGCTTGCACATTAGTTTTGAGTTTTGCATATTTTTTAAATATTTTACAATTTATACGCATATACTTGTTTTGTATTATAAATCAGTTATTAGCAAATTAAATAGATTTTTAGTACTATTTGTTTTTAATGCTAATTGTGTTTAGCATGACTGCATTTAATTTCTATAAATACTTTATATTTAAACATAATTAATTTTTTTCTTTTTCATATATATTTATATAAATATATAATTTTGAAATTTCAACATGATTAATATTAACTATTTCATTTTAAATCTTTTTACTTTAAACATTTTTAATAATATATATAATATTTCACATCTTTTTTTTTATAATAATAATAAATGTATATATATATAAATACATATGTATAAATATATATATATATATATATATGTTTTTATAATATAACTTTTATAATATTAAAGTAAACAGTTTTATGCAAACAATTAAAATAAATTGTTTAAAATAATATAACTCATAGTTGTAGTTGTAATCTTTCACATTGTGTAACTTTGCACTCTATTTTTGAAGAAGCCCAATCAAATATTGATTTATAACGCACCGAATGGATCTAATGGTACATTTTTATTGGCACCGTTCGGTTGCATACCTTGCATATGAGTTGTTGTTTGCATTGTCATGGCGGGACTACTGTGCATTGTTGGCGCTGTCATCATTGGTGCCATCGTCGGTTGTACGCCAGTCAAAGGGGCTTGACCCATCATTGGTGCTCCCATCACCGGCATTCCTTGCTGCTTTACGTTATTTATTTTTATTATATTTCATTTTATTTTATTTTATTATTTCATTTTTTTGTTTTCGATTTTGATAGAAAAAGAGAAAAATATGGAAAATAATTATTAATTATATTATTTATATAGTTTGTAGTAAAGGAGCATGCATATTTGGCACACGTTTTAAATCAAAAATGTTTCTAAAATATTTTTAAACTAATATTTTAAACTATAGGGTTTTAAATTACGATTTTTTTTTTGTTTTGGATGTTCAAAACGTAAACTGCTTTCATAACTTCAAACTAACTACAAAAATTTGTTAGTGTCAGATAGTCAAACCAAAATCAAATTGAAACTTATTTTATAAAGTGTAGATAAATTTTTAAATACAATTAAAAGATACTACCAATTGCATGAGACGTGCTTGAGATTAGATTTTAATAAAAGTGGCCGAGTAAGTTGGCCTGTTAAGGGAGGTACAGCATAATAAAAAGGTATCAGTATGATGTGTTATGGTTACCAAGGCATGTTAAAGGTGGTCGTATATATTGAAAAATTTTCAATTTAAACACAATACCGCGTCTAAGGCATACAGTTTGGGTGGCATTGGTGTGATTTTTGAGTACGCAGATTATTGAATACCATATTAAAAATCTTTACGTACTCCAATATAATATACATCCTGGTATACAAGTTTTACTTTATTTTCATTAAATATACATTGGCATTAATTATTTTATTTCCAAATGTCCATTTACAAGCACTTTCGGACGATCTGCTCCTTATTTGCACCTGATGTTGTTTTTCTCATATAAAATCTGAACAACTACATGTTGTCTTCATTTGCATATTAATATATATGAAACATATAAATAATCTTTCTGACTTGAAATGAATACATGATGACTAGTTTTTAACAATCTGTCCTGGTTGTATTACATTTTTGACGTGATACTAATCTCCTGCAGAAAAGATGACAGCAATTGTAGTCATAGGCAGTGCATCCGCTTATAATCATTGGTTTATATAAATTTAACATTTCACAATCTTTTTTGTGTCAATAACAGCAAAATATGTGCAAATATCATAATTGGGGGATTCACCATATCCTCATAATGGGGTCATAAATATATGAACGTCATAATATTTTCCGGACTTTCTGGAGCGCATTATTGTCATTTATAGTTTATTGCGAATATATTTCCATATTGCTCCATATATATTATTATTGAGATGTTGTTATTTTAATATGAAAATGGTAATGGTTGATTAACGATGCATTTTTTTTTTTTTTGAAAACTATATTTTAGTTTTTGTTTTTGAAGCCAAAAAATATTTCGTATTTATACGAAATTTATTATTGGGATTTAGTTGATATTGAATATGAGCTCTATTTAATAGTGTTATCCATATGGAATGTTACATTTAAAATATATAAATTAACTTCGATAAATGGTGTTAAAGTTTTCATATTTTTGTAAACTAATGCATATTCGTTACTTATATATATTGCTAAATATTTTTATGCTCTGACAATTTTTTTGTACATTTTATAAACAATATATACGAGTATAATTTAAATTGAAGAATTTTTTATAACACACTTAATCATTGTTTTGAATGTATCTTATTGCACTTGTTTCTAAGTTTTATACTTTTAAGATTTTTCTCAAAATATATATAAAAGATAAATTCTCAAAAACTCTTTTCTATGCGTTTGTTTCAAAGTATGTCAAAAATGTTCACAGTACATTAATTCTAGAAGTTATTTTCATCGTTCTTGAGCGGTGGTGGTGAGCATCTATGATTACCGACCCATCGTTGAACTACAATTTGATGTGTTCTTTAAAAGGAAGGATTATATCACACATTTTTTCATTGATCTTACTTTATTCGCAGTGATCTCTCGCACTGTAATATACGATTGTGATAGCACACACTTTTCAAATACAACTTCTCGTAGAATACATCGATATATCGGAACTGTTTTTCATATAATAGATTTTATTTTTAATTCGAAAGAAATCGTATGTGATGTTTTAAAACATTTTAGAAAAAGTAAGCATCGTATTTGATTATAGTTTTCTTCAATACAAGTCCTAGCGAAATTTTATAGCACATTTTGGAACCACTTAAAATTGCTTTTTTGTTTCAATATTTTTAGTAGTTCTCTCTCATTCCTTGTGATTTTAGAATATGTTTTTATATTGTTATAAATACGTATTTACGCTTTAGATTGTTATCTGTTTAAGCAGTATATCGCTCCTCGCACGTCAAGATTGCTTATTTAAAGTTAAACTTTATATGTTTCAATATTTTCAAAATTTTATTGTTCATTTTTATTGTTTGTTAGTATATGCAAATAAAATCAAATCAAGCAGATTGTTCCATATTGTGTAGCGAAAATCCAACGATTTTTTAATAAGTTAAATATCTCCAACACAATAAATAGACTTTTCAACTTGTTACGAGCATTAGATAAATGATAACAAATCCTATATTCCACATATTTTTATTTTAGAATCAAATATTTCATTTTTCCACTCTATTCCATTTCAAACATTAATCACTATTCAGTATCTCTCCATCAACCTCCCCCAAACGATATCCTTTCCACGATGCATTTAGCTTAAACTTGAATAGATTAAGAGTCAAACGCACTAAAATAACAGGTGAAAACTATCAGCAAATTACGTGTGGGAAGAAAGTTAAAGGTTGCCAATTATTTATAGTTTTATAAGTAAAATGAATGCGCTACATTAATGGAAAAACGAACTTGTAACAAAAGAAAATTTACTCAATATAATTACAATTATAAAAAAATTAAATAATAATTTTAAATACAAATAAAAATCATAAAATTAGAATAAATGGTAAATAAAAGACTTTTAAAAATTTAATACAAAATTAAAGCGAAATAAAAAGCAAATCAAAAATAAAAAGGAGCTTACCTGCATATAATTTGGAATAACAGGATAACTAGCGTGTATATACGGATGATTTATAGTGATTGGCGCAGGACTTACTGTCATGCCATGTGCCTAACATACATACACAGATTGATTCATTCATATCATTTTTATACAATTTTAAAATCGTTTTTAGTTTATTTTTTATTTAATCAATTTCATTTTCATTTTTATTGATTATTTATTGATTATTTTTGTTAAAGAGATATTTTGACAGTTTGTTTTCAGTTGGGTTGAGTTTTGTAAAATCATATAAAGCAACATAAAATGAAAGAAAATAATTGTAAAGGATTTAGAAAGTAATTAAACGAAAGGATAACAACTTAAACAAAATTAAAATAAAGTTTATATTTGATAATAAATAAATAAAGATAAGAAAAATATTATAAATAATTTTGAAAAATTGAGCTTTTAAGAATTTGTGCATTCTAGGGTAATTGTTTATTTGGACCCTCGATGTATTACGTGTAAATTGTGAAGTAACGTATTGAATCAATACGTTTTTCAATGATTATTTTTATTTCAATGAATAATAGTATATAAAGTGTTTATTTTGTATTTAATCCTTAACCTTTTCTCTGCAAAGAAAATATATAATTTGGATTATATTAATATCAAATAACATTTCTGTTATTAAATATACACTAACAAGCTAATTTTAACAATAATTTTAATTCACTGAAATTACAAATTCACTGTGATGGTAACTCTACCATTAAAAAGACCCGGTATATAACCTGCCAGCATGTAATATGCTACACTACTAACTGATAGATTCAACACATACAAAACTAACAAGAAAATATCATCTTTATTTGACTAATAATATGTCTGTTGTCGAAGTAACCCGCGAGGATCTGTAAGGCAGATAACATGTAAGGTTCCAAGAATGGCCGGGTCTATGTCGCGAAGCCACTCGTCGACCTCGACGACCAGACCAAACGTCGTTCAACACCCCCCAAATGGAATACACAAGCAATAATATGTCTGGTTGTATTTTATAAATATTAAATTGTTTAAAAACTCATTAACAGTATTTTAAATTTAAATAAAAGATCTTAAGTCACTGTTTATGGATCATGCCATATCTAGGAAATAGAGTTTTCTTTTTTCTTTCATAATCTATTTTGCTACTGTTTTTACTGTTTCAGTTTTAAAATTTTACTGATTAACTGATTTATTTACGAGGGTTGTAAAATCAACTGATTATCAATTATAAATTATTAATAAGCTAAATATGAGATATTGCCTAATTTGCATTTGTTAAATAGTACCAATAACTAGTTTCACTGGTTCTAAAAAAATAAATTATATCTTAAAAAAATGAAACCTAATACATATTAGTTAGCAAACTTGCTTCGATGATTGATTTAGACAGACAAAAGTCGCTAAATTAATTTTTCTTACTATGCTAATCAAAAATATATAGATATATGGGTCCTTCACATAATGCTAACCGTTGCTTCATCGGATTTCAAATATTTTGACGAAATTAATATACCCTTATACCCATTTTGCAATAATTGTTTATGAGGGATAAAAAATATTCTACAATTACAACACATTTTATATTATATATTAGTAACAAGCAGAATACTCGTATAGTAGTCCGATTTGCAGTAACAATATAATCCAAATTATATATTTCTTATGTATATACATTTTGATATATTAATAATATATATCTTAACATGATTAAGTGATTTGAGGTGTAAGTGATATATCTTAAAAATGTAGTATTGTAAAAAATAAGTAAAAGATAAAAGTGCTAAAAACTTGATATAAAAAATTTGACAAATAAAACCGGATAAATATTAAAAAGTAAATAACTTTTTCCTCTTGGCACAAATTTTATTTCATTAATAGTATTATTTTTTTTTATGGTTGCACATAAATTGAGCTAAACAAAAATAGTAGAGAAGTTATAGTTGAAACTCACCATTGGACGATAGCCAGCACCAGTTGTAGCCGCCATTGGTTGTGGAGTCCAATTAGCACCTGGCTTCGCTGTATTTTTAGGTGAATTCCATTGAACAGGTCTATGAATAATGGAATATGTAATCGAATCAATGATCAATGTTTGCGAAAGATAAACTTTTATTCTTTTATCTGATATTAATTTTTTTTAAACATTTTTTAAAACCAAAATTAAATGGTATGACATAGCAACATTGGCAATTTTTAAATAAAAATACATGACTTGTACAAAAAAGATTTAATGAAATGTTCAGATTTATTCATAGGTTAGGATTTTTCGACATTATGATAGTATGGTGTATATATTGATAACTATGTTGTCATGGTAAACTTGAAAATTGCTTTAAAGAAGTTTGCTATTTTCATTAATCTAATTAGCTTTTAAGCTTAAAAACATCGTGAATATATTCGAATATATTCTGCTTGAAAATTTCACTCAGCGAACCATTCCAAAATTTTCGCATATCATATAAGGTCTGTTCCACCAGTTACTCATAGTAAAACTCGAGTAAAACACGAGTAAAGTACAAACTGAGAGCGTAAAACAAAAAAAGTGCCAAATTACGCTCTTTACACAGATTTTCATGGAACAGCTTTGTGTAAAGTCTAATGAGAACACCAGTGCCGCGCAAATAAATAATACAAAAATTTCAATTCAAACCAAAACATTTGATTCACACATTACACAAATTTTACTTGAAATAAAATGTACGAGTAAAGTCTGTGTAGCATTTTCATATTTCGACAGGGATGTTACGCTCTCTCAGATACTCTCATTTACTCGAAAATTTGTTAGAGTAGCTCGTGGAACAGACTTATTGTGTTTGCTATGAATTCTAGATTTTTGAGTTTATGAGCTTAAGGAGAAATATTTAAATTATTGAAAGTATTAAATTCAAATTAGACCACACTTATGTTAAATGAATATTTAACTCTGGAACACCTAACAGCAAGACTATATACAAAAATCTCATTAAAGAGTGTTACCTATAGCTAATTTCTATATAGGTACAGTAAAAAATTTTACCATTGCAGAGCAAACACTTAATAGCAATTTTCAACACATTCTGAGTAATGAAGAAATGAAATTTTTGGTATTGAAATGATATGATTTCACCTTTGCAATAAACTGCATATATAATATTCTTTTAATATCCATATTTGTTGTATGCCAACCAATGGTTTTCATGTGCATAAATAAATTTTTTTTTTTTCAGATTTGTTTTTTTTTACTCACTTCGTGGTGCTGCTTTTATTAATATTAAGATTGTCTACGAGTGACATTAGTGAACTATCCAAGTCGCCGGTTAGGATTTTACCAGTTTGCGCTGGCGGCTGTTGTGGTTGATTTTGCTGTTGCTGCGTACTGATTCCTGTACCTGAAGTGACAACATTTGTTTGATTTGCTGCTTGATTTGAGATGCCGGGTTTCAAAACATCACCCAATGCATCGAAGCCTTTTTCATTATATATATTCATTGTTTTTTTTTTTTTTTTGTTTTTTACAATAGTTGAAGCAGACGTAATTACGTAATTTGGTGGATAGTGGTGAGTATGGTAAGTTTAATACATTTTATATTTATTATGATGTGTGCACAATATGTTGTAGTTGTTTTTGAACCAAAATTCCCAACATAAAATATTTTATTTACACAAAAATATAAAAGCCCAGCACAAACATGAAATGCGTTATATATTTGACATTTTGTTGTTGTTTTGTTGAGGTGAAATGTTATTTATTGTTGTTATTTCATATTTTTATTCACCACATTATTTCAACATTATTACATTTGATTTAGTTATTTTAAGTTATTTTATTGATTTGAAGTTATTAAATGGATTTGTGCCACCACAGGATTTTTTAATATATGATTATTAATGTTTGTGAATTAACATTTATATAAAAAGTAACATAAAAAAGAGAAAGAGAAAAAATACATTTACAAAATAAATATGATGAAATTTTGCATTAATTTATATATAAATTAAAAATATAATATGTTTCAAAGTTATTTATTACATACAACAAAAAAAGAATATTGAAGCTAAACTAACAATATTTAATACAGTGAGAAAGTGTTTATAATTGTGTGAGGACAGTATAACTATAATGTGAGTAAAAAGTAATTTAAGCAACAACAAAAACAATTTAAATCCAAATCAAATCATAATATATAAAGAATAATTTAAAATATAAATAAGAATTTTTAACATATTTAATTTACATATATACATATTTAACACAATTCCAAACAAAAAAGTTAACTCACAATACCATATTATTCTTACTAAGAGCAAGAAATGTTATAAGAATAGCAATATTCTAATAATAAAATGTAAGTGTTAATTTATTTCTGACAATTATGGAAATTATTGTAGCATTATTTTTTTTATTTTACTTTTTTAAAAAAAAGATTTTTGCTCTCTCAGTAATAATTTTTATTGATTACACATGACAGATTTATAAGGATTAAAACATTAAATACATCCTTACAGATTTTTTTTCGCCTAAAAATAAGCAATTAATAAAAAAATTGTTGCCAGAGAAGGAAAAAACTTTTTATTTAATAAAAGCAGAGTTTAGTCTGAAGCAAGAATTGGCTGCATTCGTTTATATAATAAAAACGCGTTGTAAACAAGACTTAGAATTTTAAAATAAAAAAATAACATTAATATTCTAAAGCCTTTGCTCCATTGCAAATAAGGAACATATTTGTTACAGTTGCTGAACTTCTCCTAACATGCAAAATCAGAAGAAATTGTATTATAGAAATAAACTGAAATTCTTATACTGAAGCAAAAAGCTTAGTTTAGCTAATAACAGTTCAATTGCTGAATAGCGTTATTCGAGAAACCAATTTGTCCTGGTTAAACGACTAGGCGGCATTTGTGCAACGTCTAGAGTTATGTGATCGAAACTTGGGGAAAAAATGAAAGGATCTACTCACCCTACCAAAAGAGTACATATTTAAAATCGTGGCTTGTATACATGACTACTGGCTATTTAGGAGACACGCTTTTAGGCTGGGAGTACTCTCTTATATGTTTTACAAAAGTTGTTGAGATAATTTAAGCTTAAACACTCTACACTTTATTAATGCCATAAAATAGTTTTGTAATTAACTAATAGTTCCGGTCCCGTGATTACATTCTCACAATGGGTTTAAGTAAGCTGATTAATTCGATCGACGGCCACAATAACCTAACCTATTCTATGAAGAAATTGAATTTTATTATTTTATTTTTTTTCAAAGTAATAACTGATACCGACATATTAACAAGTGCCTGGTATAAATTTACGTATAACTTTAACCCGTAGTTATAGTCGTGGTATAAATGTAATTTTTGCTTTTAAGTATTGCTTTAAAAACATAAAATAATTGAAGCAATATAGTGTACGCTATTTACTGATTGACTATTTAAGTACCGGTTTATAAGGCTCCATAAATAAACGATCATTATTTATTTTTATTATTGAAGCTAAAGGGAATAAAGCTTTCATTGCCGAACGTACGTTGGTATTCCTACATCTATAAAGTTGTCCATAACTAGGTCTTGAACTATTATTTTTAGTTTTAGACTTTAACATACTAATTAGTATATTTATTAGTAATTATAACTCTTTTCTTTAAAGAAGTAAATGCTGTAACTAGAAAAAAAAAACTAATTTTATTAAAGCAAATATTCAAAAATGCTATATGCCGATATAGCTTTTCCAGATATCATAAATTCATCAAACACATATGCACATATGCAAATTACACAAATCATTCCCTGAGCTTTAGTCAATAATGACGATATGTATTTCGAAAAAAAAAACAGCATTGAAATCTGGGTTTTTTAACAAAAAAGAGAGACCAATATATGTATTTTCTATGACTTCAGCATTGGTTTCTAAAACGCATTTATTAAATAAAAAACAATAATAAATAAGCATCCGATGGAATTACAATGTTACGTCTGTTAAACGGACAGTCTCTCAAAACAGAGACTGTAGATATATAATAAAAAATTGGAGATAAAATTATATAACTTAAATGTATTTCGCAGTTTAGAAAAGTTTAAGAGTAATAAAATATTGATAGATATCTAAAATGCATACTTAGGCTTCCAATGAAAGTTTCTAAAGCTTTTTCAATCGCAGAGCACTTTTAAATTTGTAAATTTAACGAAAATAAATTTCATCTCGCAGTTATAATGCTGTATTTAAAATAATAGTAATTCTAATGTTCGCGGAGCAGACTTCTCTACTCTCTAGATCTTATCTACTCTAGACATAAGTGTGTTTTTTTGTAAGGAGCAAAAATGCATTAAATATATAAAAAGAAATTATTATTCAAATTTGAAGTAAATCTTTCTTGGAGGAAGAAATTTGAAAGGATAGACGAGATGAAAAGAAAGATTGGATGACAAAAAGAGTAAAGGAGAGAAACATTACAATTTGATTAAAAATAAAATCTTTAATTATAACTGAAAACTATTATAAATATTAGTATAATAATGTAAAGTAGGTGAATATATTCTTTGTTTTGTTATAATTATTTTTAATAACTACATTTTCGATAATTAGAATTTTCTTACTAAAAGATGAGCATCTGGAGCAGGAGTTTCTTGCTGAGAGTGAATATTAAAATTTATTAGCTAAATACCTAAAGTTATATTTTCTCTTTGACGAGCTAGATTTCGTTTTCTTAATATACATTACTACTTCCTATTCTTACCTCTATCCTATATCTACAATATTCTTACTATATTCTTGGCACATACTCTTTTTTATAATCCTAATCAATTCACAATTGATAAATCACATAAAAGCACAGAAAACCCCACCATCACAAGTTAGAAACACACAAACTCACATAAATATTAATAAAACTTTAAATAAATATACGAATGAAAACAAATACAAATACAACTACTTAAAATAGTTTTTCAATTAATAAAACTACAATTTGTTTAAACTTTATACTTTTACACAAATGGAAGCGAGCAGCAAAATAAATTACACACAATAGGACAACAGCGAACAGCAGCTGCTGTTGGTGTAGCTATGACTTGGGCAATTAAGCATTTGTACAATACAAGAGTGTTGATAATGTGTGTGTGTGTATCGTGTATCTTTCAGATACAAGAAACAAGAAACAAGTTTAAATACAAGATACAAATGCATACAAATTTCAATTGAATTTATCACCTGGTGGATATTGATTAGGTTGATTTGTTGCCGCTGCTGCTGTTGCCGCAGCATTAAAATTTTCATTCATGAACAATGACTGGGCTGAGACTTGTGTTACGTTATTTGTTGCTACGGCAGAGTTGAGTGACGAATATGGATCAGCAGCAACTGAATTTAATTGCGAATTGCTCACTGTTGGAAAGTTCAAACTTTGCGGTCCCATTGAGTCGAAGAAGGGATTTGGTAACACAGTTGCACTAGTTGTTGCTGTTGCATATTAATATTTTCATCAAGATATTTTTAATAAAAAAATTATAATTAAATTAATAAATTAGAAGAAAAAAAATATTTTATATTAAAAAAATAATAAATAAATAATATAATATTAAATAAACATGTTCAATACATAATTATAATTAAATAAATTGCATTGCTGCATACACTGCATACGCATTCGAACTTACAAAGCAATCTCATACTCCTTTTATAAACGATTTGTTAATTAATAAATATCTGATCTATTTTCAAACTAAGTTACAAAACTATTTCGCTAAAAACAAATACTATATGTAAAATACATAAAAATATTCACTTATGTGGTTTATACGTAAGACTATTTCTTTAATCCGGGTTTTTCAAACAGTTGCTTAGCGTTATGTTCAATTGCAGTCTGTGTCGTGTAATCTGCGCCAAATAGTGGAAATGATTAAACTTCTACAGCTAAAAGAATTTCACTTCACTAAATAAACTTTTTTAGATGAAAAACAGATTAAACTGAAAAAACAATATATCTTTACAACTATTTACTCTACAAAACAGACTTGAGTCCTGGTTGCAATAACATATTTTATTGATAGTAAAAAACGTAATCAATCATTATCGGCCTTTATAGTTTAAGAAACAAAATGTGTTTGTAAAAACCTGAGATTAGATTGCAGAAAAAGATGTAAATATAACACACTTTTTGGTGTGGTCAAATTTTACCATAAGCGTAGGGTCCATTGGATATATATATTGATATAAAACACATAACTAGTAAACAATCTGAATGTTAAAAGTGACAACTCAAATACTACACGCCGATATACCTTAAACATAATAAGTGGGAATGTAAACGGTTACAGGAAAGTAATCAATGCCTTTCGTAATGATTGCGGACAACATAATAACAAATTCGAATTTAAAAATATTAATTCCAATGAAATATAAAAAAAATATTTAATACCATCTTCTACAAAAATTTATTATTATTTATTTACTTATCTGGTTTAAAAACTAAATAGTCAACAAATTTCAAATGCATGTATTATAAAATAACCTATCACTGCTCGAAGCACTGGAATACATTAAAGTTACCCGATAATTACAAACAGCAATGCTAAGAGGTTCCAGAAACTGCCGCCGACCTACGTTCACTCAAAGCGAATCGTCTTTTCAAACGATCAAATATTGCTAATTCCTTACAACTGAGACTCAAAATAAGACTTCCTAATACTATTTTGGAATATATCTCTGATCACATAAAGAAAACCACCAGAAATTTGAAATAAAAAAGTCAGCACTGAGACAAAATTATTTAAAATTAAAATCAATTATATATATGAAAACTAATAAAAAATTTTAAATAAATTATGGTAACCTAGTGGAAAATTTTTCAAAAAGTATTAAAAAAAGCTATCAATAAAATCTTTTGACTGAAAATAATAGAAAACTATTGCGAAGGATAATTAAATATTAAAAATTAATAAATACTTTAAATTTTATAGAGCAAAATTTGTTGAAGATTTAGTTTTCTTTCCATTTTTAATCTAGATTTGCCTAAAGCTGGAGTTCTTAACTCTTTTATTTTATATAAACGAATTTCACAATGTCTTTATCTCTCTCTTTCAATTAGTAGTATGGATAAATGCTTAAACTATTCAAAAACTATAATTTACTTTAAATAAACAGACGGTACACCGAAAGCATTTTAAAAAAAAAATGTTTATACTCTATTAATATTTATATACATAATAACTATTTATTCAGTCAATTCAGTAAGACACCTAACTCGTAATTGCTTAAAAATGCAGAAAAGATTAATTAAAGTCGCAAATAAATTTTTAGTAGATATAGATACATGAGGCAAAACAGTTACATATTTAAATTTAATTATACAATACATGCAACTGGTTTAGTGTAAAACATTCACCACTTAAATGAAATAAATAAATTTTAAATTAATTTTTAAAAAAATTATGATTTAAATAAAAAATATTTGAAATAATCAATATCTTACATAAAACTTGAAATGATATAAATGTTTTTAAAGAATGCAAATTTTAATTTTGTTAACAAGAAATTATTTGTTAAGGTTTCATAAAACACATTTAAAATATCAAAGAGTGTATAATAAGGAAAGTTGTTAGTAACAAAGGGTAAAAACCATTAACTATTAAAAATTGAAACTGAAAATAACTTACCAGCTGGTTCTGTATTACCAAAAACAGATGAGAAATTACTATCCGAAACAAAAGCATTAGCAGCTGCTGAAGGAACAGGTGCACCATTAAAACCTTTGAAAATAAATAAAAATGATTGATATTATTAAATGTAATTTTATGATAAAATAAATATTAAATTGATCACATTACAATTATATTTTTAAAATGCAATAAAATTATAATTCTAAAATAAATAAACTAATATTTAAAATAAATATTTAAATATTTGTATTTAAACTAATATTTAAAATAAATATGCGTGATATACCATATAAATGAATGATCAAATATGACATAATATTGTTTAAACCATGGCTTCGAACCGAAATTTTTTCTGTTCCGGTTCCAAAGAAAACAAATATATCGGTTCGGTTTCGATTCGAAACCCTGGTTTAAAAAATAGTTAAAGAAATATTTAACATAAATGTGATATGTGCTTTTCAAAAAATAAATCAAATATTATATATCATTTGTTAGACAATAGTTCAAAAAATGTTTTGTTAAGCAATATTAAAGTTATAGTAAAAACTCTTTTAATTAATTATGAACACAATTTCATACAAAACAACTAGCCTTAGTACAGATATAGAAAAAAGTAATTGTGTATTAATCATTTGGATTTGAATAATAGAGGTATTCACACTGACTAACATAATAACAGTACAAATGACGTTTACTCGAAATATCGAAGCTACAACGTTTGCAATGTTATTATATTACTCGAACGCGTGAATTCCATTAATGTAATATTAGAAGTTTTTACTATTCTAATGTATAAACTTATATATATGTGTATTATCTATAAAAAATAACTTGTTCTAAAACTTGTTTAATGAACAGAAAAAAAATTTTTTTTAAAAAAAATACATTTAAGATTCATAAGGAAAAAAACAACGCTTCCTATCTCCCGGATGCGCCCATTTAAACATGAATTTTAGCAAAGACGGCTATGTATTTAGCTTAATTTTCGAGTTATCGGGTATAAAAGTTGGAAATTTTAACATTAAAGTACCGCTATTTGGGGCGTATATTTATAGTTGCGCGTTGTTTATTTAATCAATGTAAAATTTGTATGCATTTTTTGTTAGTGTAATTTATATAAAAAGTTCACAACTTTAACCGTCAATGTCTCGAAAAGTAAGCTGAAACTGACCTCTTATATAAATCATTACCGTGATATCACGGTATACGAATTTTTATTTACTTTATTTTTATTTACTTTATTTTATTTACTTTAGCCACCGGATAAAGTAAATAAAATATGTCTACAACAAATTTTTCATATCGAATGATCAGAAAGATAAGAAAATTAATTATGTAATTAAACAATAATTACACAACATATAAAATTAAAATACATATTTGATTAAAACGTTACAAAAAACGATAAACATAAAATAAAAATATTGTTTAAAAATATTAAATATCATTAATATAATATTATTTCAGATATTCAAATTTTAAAAATAAAATAAATATTTTAGCTACGTATATAAACTATATAAAGTAATATAAATAAAAATAACTATAGAAAATAATTAAAAACTAAACGAAAAAAGCATGCTACCATTGTTATTCATCCATATATTATTTGTATTGTGAGCACCTGTTGCAACTGGGGCTGCACCTGTCAATGGCGCATCAAACATATCAGCGAATGGATTGCCCAATTGTAATAAATCATCAGATGCTTTACCAGCTGCTGTAGCAGCAGATGCAGACTGTGCTGGGGCTGCACCAAACAAATCAACTATCGGAGCAGCAGCACCACTAGCTGTTGGTGACGATAAGAATGGATTTGTTAATGCAGCACCAGCTCCAGATGCACTATTTGTTGGTGAAGAAACCTTTGACTAATAATATATAAAAATTAATTAGAAATATTTGTACAATGGTATATAAAAATAATATTGTTGTTAAACTTACTTTGTACTGGTTCATCGCAGCTTCTTCCTCGGCTAATATTTGAGCTTTTAATTGCTCATCAATGCCATTGGTGGTATCGAATTTGCTGGATGCGGCAGCTGTACCGAACGATGAGCTAGTAGAAGATAGGGCAGAGACAGCGGATTTTACGTTTTTTTGGTTGCTACTTTTTTTTATATTTATTTTAATATGTAATTAAAATAGTATTTATAATTTACACAAAATTATAATATATCGAACCAAAATTATACAACAAATTAAATTCGAAATTAACGTGTATTCGCAACCAAAAACGTATTTTATGATATTGGAGTAAAAGGTGGGAAGTAAAGATATTGGAAGAATAGCAATAGAATGGATTATATAGAATGAAAAATAGGTTAAGAAAATTTAAGGAAATGTAAGAACGCAAATATGGGAAAAACGATTAAAGAAAATTAAAAAAGAAAAAAAAATAAGATTAAATAAATTTAAATCAATAAATAAAAGAAGTAATATGTATATAAAACCTAGACTATTAAATAATAGTGATAGCTAAATTAGCTTATTAAAATAAAAATAATAATATAAAACTAAATACATGAATTTAACTAAAAATTACGAAACATTAAATTTATAAACATACTCAATACAAAACAAATTATTAACTACTTAAATAAATTAATTTAATTAAGAACTTAAATAAATCAATAACTACACTCATTGCTAATACTTTATGTTTAATTTATAATTAAATACAATTTCTATAACTGCACTAAAATGCTACACATGAAATTTTTTAACGAAATTTTCTCACCCAGGATTTGGTGCAACGTTCAATTCACTACATGAAAAAAAATTTGATATTTTGAATTGCTGTTATATGTAATATTTTAAATAAAATATTAAATAATTTAACTATAAAATATTATCAAAAATTAAGTTTCATTGATTATTAATAAATGCCTAAATTATTTATAAAAATTTTTATTTTCATAAATAAAGAAAAGGATTGTAACTGAAAGAAATCGGAGGTTCGTCGCTGCAACTACGTTATTCCTCACTGGATCAGAAATGAGGCTACTGCCAGAGCTGGGACAATCTATTGAGTCTAATGCATTACCATCTCAACAAGATTCTAATACTAGGAAATCATCAACAGATGACATTTTGGTTTTTTTATGGAAATATAATTGAGCTATAAAAGATCTACTATAGTTGTTATAACCTGTTAAGATCTATATAGCAGAAACATGGAAGCAAGCTCAGTACGAATAAATGGCTTTGGATGTAATTTGGGTAAAAATGGAGAGACAAGAAGAAGTTTATTTATAAGTTCATATCTACTATGACGCATCGTTTCGCTTCGTTTGAAACTAATACTCTCTCGATTTCTATTGTGTAGAAACAGTATAGAATGATAATGCCAATGGATATTATTTACGAATTTATTTAAATTTCAACTGATGTGACAAGTAGCACTAAGGAATCGCCAGATAACTTATTTGAACCTTATTATTTGACTTATTAGACTCATTTATTTGGCTATTAAAATCATTCGTAATCTTTAAAATCTAAGGAATCTTACAATTATTATTAAAATCGATTCAGTTGTGAAATATCACAACGTCTTAACTATTAATATTAATATATTTAGTTTTAATTCAAATTTTGTTTAACTCATATTTACCTAGCTGATTGGGTTGGTGTATTTGCAGCAGACACCTTGCGTCCTTCCAAAGTAGCTAAATGTTGCTCAAGTGCATCCAATAAAGAACTAGGTGCCTTTGTTAAATCTGGTATATCACCTTTATCTATGCCAACATTCTAAATGAAATACAACAAATTTAATACACAATATATAATCACTTTAATAAATTTACTGACCTCAGCGACTTTTAGGAATTCCCCAACACGGTCCATACGAACTAAGAACTTCTTGTATAAATCCAAAGCATCTCGCGCCTGTTTTTTATTCATGTCAAAATATTTCTCCAACAGGTTGATAATACCGTCATTATAGCAAGCAAATAAACGTATGAGATCTCGGAATAGCAACATGAAACTCATGTTAATAACACCTACAAAATGTAATCAAATATAGAAGAAAATATATTAATTTAAAAAGTAATAATAAATAAATTATGTTACTTGAAAAAAATCTAGAATAGATCTAAATTAAAATAGATAACGAATGAAATATATTTACAAAAATTTTATAAAGATATTATTTACCATTTGTTAAGTCATTTGCTTGACAGTCAAACTCCAATAGCGCATCCAATTGCGCCTGCAATACTGGTAACGTTTTTAATAATTTATCTGCATGCATTGTACGTAAAGAACCCTCGTCTTTTCTGAAATTTCGTAATAAAATATTATAAGTTGATTTTATATTATATTTTATTATTAATTTTATACTATTGCATTATTAATTTATTGTGCTTTCCTTCATGAATGCGACAAAATCACTATCAAAACAACTATTAACCAACCATGGAATGCGGACGTAGCCATTTAATGGTTCGCTCGCATTCTTGATAATTCTTATATGAAAAATGCTAATAAGATATCCTGGTTATATATATACAGTCAAACTTTCATAACTCCAAATACCATTTTGCAAAGAAAAGGTTCGACTTATGGAGACTTCGAGTTAGAGAATTTAGAATCGAAATTTAGCGCTTAGAATCCGATCCACTAATTCAGAGCTAAAATGCGCAATAATGTCGTCATCTGTAGGTAAGCTTGATGTGCAAATTTTTGTAAATTAATTTATTTACTTTAAATAACACTTTATAATTCTGTTCCATCAATTCAGGGTCTTCATCAATGTTATTCAAGAAAACTAAAGAAAATAAGAAATTGTATGTAATTTGCTCTCTAAAACACTGTTGCACTCTTTTTAATTCGAATTATAAAAAATTCGAAGTTCGAGTTATACAAGTTTGAATGTATAACCACGATGTATATATTTATATTTTCATATACATATATATATAATGTATATATTGTATATATTTTGAGCTGAAATTAATATTTGTCTATAATTTCATCTATATATATGTATTCAAATATATTCTTCTGTATCCATTCCCACACCATAAACAAATTTATATATTACACTACTACCCCGATTTACGTCGCCCCGCTTTGTGTTGGTTCGAATTGTATCGCCAAAAAAAATAAATTTTGTCTTCACATTGCGTCGGTAGTGTTCTATTTGCGCCGCATGTATTAGTACAGAGGGGATTCCCATTTTATTTCTTGTAGGTCATATATTTTAAAAGGGGATTTACATGTATTAAGTTTTTAGTTAAAAGGTGTCAGTTTTCGTATATGTGATAAAGTGGAAAGGAAAATTTCTGCTTTATAAAATATAAAAATGAATCAAAAGTGAAAACAAGTTTTCTTTTAACAAAAGTTAGATATTTTAAAATATTTTAAACTTGGCGGAAAATCTAGTAACATTGGAAGAATTCTGAATTTAGCTCCAACTACTGTAAGAACAATTTGTAATCGTGATACGAACAATATAAAGGACTACTGAAAAGCTGGCACACACTTACAAGCCAAATAAATTACAAAAACTAGAAGTACATTAATTGTAAAAATGGAATCCCTTCCATTCATTCATTTGATTAGAAAATCAGAACCAAAGAAAAATACCATTGAGTCAGTCAAATGCTAATTCAGAATATGGTACTGTCGACATTCAATGAGTTAAAAGGTAATTCTCCACAAAATTTTTGGAAATTAAATATATGAAGAAATGTGGTTCGATTTGCGTCGCATTTCTTCGGTCCCAATTAACGACACAATTCTGGGTATTAATGTATATTATTATATACTATTTTCTGGTTAATAATTAATAATGTAGTAACAATTCTTTAATTTATTCATTTCGTTTGAATTTTCGCTTTTTATTATATAAAATAGTTTTGTTGTTACATATGTATTATATTTAGATTCTTAAATATTTACTTTTCTCCTCCATGTTAATTATTTAAGAGACGAATGAAAATAACCAGCAAAAATGAATTTTAATTAAATTGTCTATATTCAGAATTGATATATTTTCTTTTTTAAATAAACAATAACAAATAATGGACGAGGAAAACTCTTTTTCACATAATAAATTGACAAACAAAAAATTTAGAAATACCCCAAAGGTGATTTTTATTATATATATAATTATTAAATTATAATTTTTTATATTAAATTTATATTTAATGTAATTAGGTTTAAAATATTTTAATATTTAAAATAATTTCATTTATTTACTTTTTGTTTATTAATGTTTTATTTATTATATTTTTTTTTAATTATTTATTTATAGGGTTCCTAAACTTTGTGGATGGATATACCTGTTTTGAAACTACTCATTAACTAAACGAAATATAAATTGTTTTCAAGAAGGCACATAATAGTATATATTTAATTAAAACTTTCTACCGTGCTTGTTTAATAATATATTTAATAGTACTTATGTGCGATACAAGTCTGTTCTACATATAGCAATAGGTACAGATTTTATTATCTTTGTAATATCTAAATTTTCACATCGTAAAATAAAGTTTTTAGTTATTTTAACTAACAAACGAAAGAATATTTTAGCTGCATACACAACATCTGATGATGAACTAAAACTTTGAAGAATTGGACAGATACTACTGAGATCCAAGATCCAAGTAGTGTTATCATATAATAACAATAGTTTATAAGTAAGCAACTTCGGTATTACAAATTTTAATAGTTTTTATATACAAACTTAAATCACTACTTACCCCCTCTTAACTTTGCAAAAATCAAACGCCATGGCACGATAAGATAGTGACTTCTCATTTAAATATTTAGCATAGCGTCGTATAAATGGTGACATGTCATAACCTTTTTAAAGAAAAAAATAGATAATTATGATGTTATATTAGACTTTTAAAACTTTATCAGATACAAATACTATTAAAAAACATTAGAAAATATAGTTTTAAGTTTCAAAAGCTACTGATGTGTAGTTACATTGTAAATGATTACAAAAATTAGATTTTTACAGTTAGCAGTTATAGAAGTTATACTGTCTCAAAGTTAAACTTATTGAATTATTCATTCATAGAGAGCTAGTACTCACCCATACGGCCAGGCATACCACCCATTCCACCATCTTGCGTAAGAAGTTTTTAAGTGATGTATTGTAAGTAAGCGGAATTTTTTGCATATTATATATTACATATTTGTTACAAATACATATTATATATGTAAATAGATATTTATAAATTTTTATGATGTTAAAGACATTAAAGCCACAAAATAAAAAAAATGGAAAGGGAAGAAAAAGAGAAAGATATAAAATAAGCATTATTTATGTATAATTAAACAAATTGTTATAACGTTTTTAAAAATTGTGTGATGTGTTGATTGTATTTATATACAAAAATTGTTCGTAGATAACAAATTTTATCAATTAACATAAAAGTGCGAATAAGTCAATTAATTATTATTTACACTCGATTATTAATTTTTTTAAAACTATAAACCATAAATATTAAATTTTAATTTTTAAATATATCTGCAACCCGGTAACAGCAATTTTTACCACAAAATTCTTTTCGCTATTAGCAAACACCGAAATTTTTAAAAATAACTTAAATAATATATTTAGTAAATAAGAATATTTGTTTGTGCAAAAATTAATTAAATAAAAATTAAAATACAATAATTAATAATGTGTTTATTATTTCGATTCGAATAGAAATATTGGGAATTTAAAGCAAAAATGATATGGATATAGAAAATTAAAATTTATAATTATCACAATTTTTAACAGATATTATTTTTATAGTAAAAATATTAAGTTGTGTGAGATGTGCTTGTTTATAAACAAAATAAAAATAAAATTTAATTGGCATTTTGTAAAACAATTATACCTTGCACACCTCCCTTGTCCAAAAAATTGCTGAGGTTAAATGTTGAGTTACTCGAAGCTAAATACTGCATGAAACGCTAAAAATAGAGAGAAAATTTTAATTAACGCAAAATTTCAAATAAATAGATTCAATTTCATAAAGAAATTCCACATAAATTTCAATTCTATAAAAGATAATAATAACAACACAAAATGATATTAATATTGTTTAAATAATTACATATTATTTGTTTTTTGTTAACATATAATATATTATTATATTGTATAACATTTTTTATTATTAATATTATTAAAATAATTATTTGTGTAAAGATAACAAATAATGTAAAAGTATTAAACTTCTACTGAGCTCTGTATATGGTAAAATATACAAAAATATTAAAGTGCTAGCTAGCAGCATCAAATATGAAAATAAACATTTTTACAAAATCGCAGAAAAAATGAATAAAAGTTTCAGTCTAAAACACAACGTTTCAGTCTATAACATCTGTGTAAACAATTTCTGTATTAAAAAAACACAGTAAAATAAAAACACTGAAAAAGTATAAAAATGTTTAATACTGAATAAGTATTTGAAATTATTTTAAAACTGAAAAACATTTATATTAGCATATATGCTAAGCTAAATCAAATTTTAGCAAATTATTTTGAAATGAAGTTAGTATTTTAAACGATTTCATATAACCCATTTTTATAACAAGCGCTTACTTATTCGATTATACATATAAATACTTTAATTAAAAAATTAAACTATTTAATACAACTACCTCATACCAAATTAGTGAGTATCTTCTTCAGAATCAAGATTCTGAATAGGCCAACATCAAATTTTTCTAAAGATGAGAAGCAACACTCACATATAAAAAGAAGTACCTCTCTCAGGTTGTGGTATAGATAAGAGATATGAAATTTCGGCCTATTGAGGTGGCAATGTTACTTTTTCTCTGACCGAAATGATTGAAATACTACTCGCTATATTCCAAACACTTCTCATCTTCTCTTGTTTTCATACTGATTTCATTTACTAATATTCTAATCCATCCTATCCTACTCTATAAATTTTGATCATAATTTATTTATGTTTCAGATTTACAGGTTTCCAGTCTGGATTATAACAGCAGCAAGAACTGTTATTGATTTTAGATCTTTTGAAGTTTATTTCACATTTAAAGATCATTAAAATAATAATATAGCGTAAAAAATATTTAACTGCTTAATTAATTTCGACCTATATTAACTGAAGCTGCATTGTATACGTACATGGGTGCTTCCCAACGAAACGATAATGTGCACTAGAAGCTTAATCGAATTGCTCAATGGAATAATATAGTAGTTATAATTAAAAGTCGAAAAAGTAGTATTTTTAAATAAACCATTGAGATTAAAAAATTTATTTAAACAGTACGAATAAAAATAAATTTGTTCCTTTACACACAATCAAGGTTTACAAAAATAAGCAATATATAAAAGTCGTAATATAAAAGCTTACGTTCAAAAGAATACCTTGGAGTTCTCAAGGTATTATGGAGTTAAGAAATGATCAAAACCAATTAAATGACAAAGCGACTTGAATTGATTGAAAATTGATTGGAAGAAAATGAAAATAAAATAAACAAATTTAAAATTGGAACCCACACTTCAAGCAGAGTAAATATAGTACATGATGTTTAAATATTAAACAATCTAAACTAAGAATAATATGTAAATTTAATGGTATATAAATATATATGTTGCTATATGCAATGGCATTAAAAACATGAAAATCTAATATTACATATTTTGAGAAGTAAAGAATTAGAATAAAATAACATTATTCCAATTATTCTATTTTAGCTTTATTTCTGTTTTATATAATACATTTTATATAAAAATGTCTTTAAAATTGAAGAATAATTACATTTAGAAAACTGCATTTAGGTTTTGACAACGTCTTAATGGCAATTATGGGATCTAGCTAATTTAGCAACTTTAACTTACATCTACCTCTTCGATATTTTTCTGTTATATTAGATTTTTTAAATAACAATTTAGAACAGAATAACTGGCATATTTTCTTAATACAGTCAAATTTCCATAACTCGAAGTCCAGGTCTAGGATTTTAATGTTTTTCTTATATTCAGTAAGACACTTTATTCATACGCTTATAGTGATCATCAGTTATAGTATCATTCGTTTGCAAATATAAATTGGGAATTTTGAATGAGTCTTCTACTTCATTCTTGGAAGGCTGATGAACAATTACAATCTATCTATCATCATCACTTTTCGTTGCGCTTAGAATTGGATCCAGTAATTTAGAGCTATAGTGCTCAATAATATCGTCATCTGTAGGAAAGCTTAATGTACAAATTTCATTTTCAAGCTCAATACAATCGTTAAGAGAAGCATTGGAAGTTATTTTATTTATTTTAAACTGCCAGCGACTGGCATTTCCACAAAGAAGCAACATTAGAAAGAAAAAATTAAACATTTTGTTTGGAAAAAGGAACTTTCCCTAAAAGCAAAATGCACTTTCCCATATTCTTATCGGCACGGAACAACATTTTTGTTCGAGTTATAGAGAAACTCGAGTTGTAGAAGTTCGAGATATGGAAACAGAATTGTATGTAATTTGCTTTCTAAAACCTTGGTTTTAGAGAGCCGACTGTTGTCGATTCGAGTTATAGAAAATTCGAGTTATAGAAGTTCGAATTATGGAAATTTGACTGAATTTATTATTTATTATGAACTTCGAAAAATAAATCGATATAGCATCGATATATGCATTATTGAGTTATTAAGCACACAATATAAATAAATATACGCTATTATGAGTACTTATTTTAATGTATGATACTAACTAACCAATCTACCGCAGATATATAGTATGAAAAAAAACGGACCTTTTTTAATTTAGAATACCCTTTTTAAAATATTTCCACTGTAACTATATAACATATTTTAAATTAAATTATTTGTTTTAATAGAGTAGAAACAATTTATACATATCATAAGTGCTGTTTAAATATGTAAAAGCGAAAAAGCAATCAATCTTATATGTGACCTTTTAATACTTTCAATATACTTTAATAAAAGAGCAAATAAAAAAAAACCACAAGTATTATTTTATTTCCAATAATTGAATCTTTTACAACTTGAGTGACAGTTTCAGGAGCAAACATTGTTATTCATGTCACACTCGAGCAGTTCTCATATTCTTCACTCTGTTACTAAAGCCAAATACACCCCTCGATTTGTATGCGAACTAATCAATGTAAGTATCTGTTGGCAATGTGTTAAAATTTTTGTTTTTTTGACTTACCTCATTTCCATATGCCATCAAATGATGGGTCGTTATCAGCGACTTGTAGACCACCACCCAATTGGCGTTTTGAGAACGTTCGATAAGTAAATTCGCCAAATGCGGTATCGAGACGTTGGGTTCATTCGTGCAATGCACCAAATCTTAAAATAAAAATCGACATGAAATATGTATGTATATGCAATTTATAAATAAATATATATAAGAAATGAAATGCAATAAAGATTTACAATAAGTGAACTATAAAGAAATAAAAGAAAAAGCACAAAATTGTTAATTTGAACTCTCTTATCAACCACAAAACGCCGCTTATCGTTAAAGTTCAAATTCTTTATTTAATATTAAAGAGGCAAACGGCACGTCCAGTTCGTTTAAATATGCAATATTTCGATTTCGATTTTCATTTTTCATTTTTTATTTTTTATTTCATCGCATATTTGTATATATAAAAGTTTATTTAATACATTTTAATTTGTTTTATTTTTATCTTTTAAAATGTAAAAAAAAACATTAAAAACTTCACGCTACAATCGCAGCTTGTCTCTGAGCAGCAACAACAACAATAAGTTTAGTAGATAATAAATGCATCGGAGTGCTTCAATATTTATTGCTTCATTTGTTAATACGATGGTTTTTAATAAAAACTATTATTTAATAACACTCGTATCGAGGGGCGTTTTTGCATAAATTATTATTTCTAAGCAAAATGATTTATCTACGCTCTGAAAGATATTCAAACAAATAAGTCATAAAATATGCTGTTACTGTACGAGCAGAAAGGCTATTGATTAAATAATAAATATATTATTTATTGTTAATAATTAATTTATTCAAACATTACTAGAGTAAAAACTTTAAATAATCACGAATGTGAACAAATTATCAAAATGCTAATTTTATTTAAACATTTAATATTAGCGAAGTATGTATTAGATGTTATATTGGAAAATCTTATATGCTACAATATTACCATATAGATGACCTATATTGTTTCATACATCAAATAAACTAGAGTTACTTATGTAGAATTTAAGGACATCACAATGAGCAATAGATATTTTGAAGTGGAACTGTTGACATATTATATTAACAAGCGCCTTTGAGAGGATCAGTTATTACAACACGATTTATAATTTTCACATTATGCCAGATTGACGATATAATATATAATTTATTACTGATTTCAATGAATAAATTAAGGTATTATTAATCCATACTCTTAACATAAACTAAGGATTTCTACTTAAGTTTTCCAGTTACTTCTGCTACGTATCATTAATTTAACTGGTTAAATAATTGGCTTTCGTTTTAAAAAGTCCTGTACCAAAATATCCACGTTCAAACATGTCGCCTGGTCCGGTCCCCTGAAGAGTTCATTTCAATATCATTATTTCATATTCTCAAAATATTTCTATGACATCTATCATTTCTCTGATCTATATAGTAGCACAAACTATATGAAAATTAATAAGTTTTGTAGTTCACAGAGGTGGCATCAATTGAAAGAATATAACGCTACTCAAATAATTCAATAAAAATTATTAATGAAAAATGATCTGTAAAACTTCGATTATTAATAAAAAAAAAATGTTGTTGTTTCCTGATTTAACATCCACAGATCACGTTTTATTTATATTAATTTTTAGGTTGACTTTATTAAACCCTGATTGTACTTAGTTAACTTTTAACGGCAAAAATTTCTCCATATAAAATACTCAAATGCTATCATATACAGTCTTAAAATCTTGTTTGAAATTAAAATTCAGTGATCCATTCTATGGCAATGAAACAAAAAACAGACATCACTGCTTTACCCTAGTGGTTCATTCAAAAATATTACTGAGTTTGTCATTGTGAAATACTGTAGCAATTATAAGTTATAAGTTATAATAAGTTATAATATTTGATTGTACTTCATCATTTCTAAAGTTAATATATTTTTCAGTTAAATAGTACAGAAGTATTCCTAAGACCAAATTAGCCCGTTGAGAAACTTAAAAAAAAAAAATTAGTAATATTAGACAACACGTATAATGTTACCTTGAATTAATAAAATACCAGCAATTTTTCTTTTACTGGCTTTTTCTCTTACTTTCAATCAATAGATAGTAGTTTGAAAGAGACAAAGTATTATTTTTAATTTTCTGAAATACATACAGCTGGGTGAACATATAATGAAAAAGACCAAAGACAGGTAGCATAACTTAAGTATCTATAAAATCATCAAAATTATGTACAAACTCATATTCAATGAAAAATGTACGAAACGTTTGCATAAGCTTAATATTTCCAGTAATGAAGAATGCAAAAATGCAAAGAACCGGGCATCAAACAACACTATAGCATTTTCTCTGGTTCTGACCAGCTCTCTTGAAAATCCAAATCAAACAATTAGTAGCTGGACTTGGTCTTTGAAGTGAAATTTCTTCTAAAAACATTTAGAGTTTTAAAGGATTCTAATCAATTGTCACTATGAACCTTCAGGTGATCTCACTCAGGTATGCGTGATCTCTACCAGCCACCTTTACCCAGCTAAATATATTCCTAATTGCACTTAGCTAGTTTTTCTGATTTTACCCAAATTAATGTTTTTAATTTTTACATATTACATTTTACATATTATATATGTATTATCACCACTCATAATGGTAAATCCAGACTCCAAAGAACGATAAATTAATAATGAAAGAACCCCTATTTTTAAAGTTTATATAGATTTAGTCACACCTTAAACAAAACTCTCCTCAAGAAAATATTGATATAAGTATCCAAGTAACTCTACAAACAGAATAGTATTGAAATTTAACAATTAAAAATAAAAATATAATTAATTAATTCAATTATTCTACAGTTGGTTTATGATTTCGTTCTATTATAAACACAGCAAGTGAATTTGTTAATAAAACTTTCATAGCAAAGCAACAAAACTCCAGAAAAATAAAAGTTAAGTACGGCTTTGGGTCAGTTGGTTAAAGTGTGCTGACTCTGAGCTTCACATTTGGCAGGACAAGAGTTCGATTCCTGGTACTTGCAGTCTCAAAATATTACTTACGAATAATTAAATATAAGAATTATTTCCAAGACCACTGATGATAGGTATTTGGCAATACTCGTAACAGCTGTATGGTCAGCCAAAAATATAATTAATTAAAATAATATAAAATGAATTTTTGTTGTTGTAGTTCCTTACTGTTTTTTTTTTTTCCAATTGTGTGGATTTGAAAATAGTTGTGGTGCACAGATGACTGTTTAAAAAACGTGTGCTTTAAAGTGATTTATTTTTATATATAAATTTTGTCTTATATTTATAGTAACAATCAACAGCGCATGTGGAAGATACAATGCACAATAAGCATATTTGTTATGAACTACTATTTATTTTCGGCTCAATCAAGCGTTCAATGCACTATTAATTAAATAAATTCATTCAGAAATGTTTCTTGGAAAGCTATCTAGGTGAATAAATTCTCACGCAAACTTAATTAGCACATCAAGAGTAAATTTGTCTAGATACTTTTAGAAACTAACTCCGCATAATCTCATAAACTGGTTGGTATATTTATAAAGCGGCATTTTTATTTCAAGTTTACTACAAACACTACAGAAATAAATAGAATTCGTATATACCTTTATACGAAGTTCAAGTGTAAAAATCTATAAACTTAGTTGAATCATATCTGTGTTAAAAATTACAACGACTGCCGTGCATAAATTTGAATGATAAGCAAAATTGGCATATTCCAAGCAACTCACAAATGAGTCACTCCATAAAATGGCATTATTTGTATTTCTGTATATGAAAAATTTCATTTGAGAACTCAACAAAAGTAGGTTCTATGGAATTCTGTAATTTATACAAATATGGATTTGGATAACTAATTGAATATTATTATTAAACTGAAACGGCAAAGAAAAGAACAGAAAGCGCAGTGATAAACATTCATTATTATGAATCAGACAAAAATACATATAGATACATTTGCATAAATCCACATACATAAAATGTGTATTTTCTTAGTGTTATTTTTAAGAACATTGCACAAAAGTTCAAAAAATAATTAAACAGCTTTACGTTCTGCAATATTTTAGCACACAATAACATTGAACGATAACTCGCAAGTGAAAGTGAAGGAAATTAAGTTTAAAAATAAATTACAGTATCTTTATGTAAACAACCTTAACCGCAACCTGCAATTACGTTAATCATTAAACAACAATGAAAAAAATAATTGAAGTTAGATTAAGCACCTAAACCAAGTAACCTACTACAATATATGACTAAGCTTGGTTCTGTAATTTGTTAAGTTAAAAAATATGAATGAATGAATAACATTTGTGATAAAAATAATGTGTTGAGTTACGCGCTATAATAATAAAATCGGCATTCATAGTTTGAGAGAATATAAATGTTAGTTCTTGTTATAAGTTTTAGGTGTGAAAATGATAGCGACATACAGAACTAACAGGAGGCGGAAAAAGTGTGCGCCCCAAGACCTCTATAGTATGCTAAGTGCTACATTTATCAAGCCGTTAATGAAAGTAATGGAAATAATGACGGTTTATAAATTTATGTGAAAATTATGACTTCTTTCTAATGTACTTGTTTTTTGTTTTATTAATATTTAAATAAATGTTAAATGAAATAAATATAGATTTCAAAAAACATTTGCATATGAAAAATTTGTTTTTAAAATAAGTAGGGGCAGCAAAAACTTCTCAACTGCCTGACTTATCCGCAAATGGTCTCATTTTAAAATAAATATAAACTGAAACCATAGAGATCATAATGATCTGTCTATAAAAAATATTTTAAATACTTTAAAGCAGCGTTTTTTAATATCCAATTATCTACATTTATATAAATATATCCACATATCTTAATAAAACTTTACTGTTGCCTTAGAACAGTTATAAATAAATTTTAAAATGTATTCTATTATTTGTTAATTGCAAAAACTTAATTTACGCTATATTTTATTTACATACAAATATGTACGTATGTATATATTTTTATTTTAGCGTGTTTCAATTCCTAACTAACCTAAGTTTAAATTTAATACATTTCTGAATCTCGACCCAACGGTTGAAAACCCTGTTTTATAACATTAAGTAGCCACAGTAGATATATTTAGAGCAATGAAAT